ATGAGCTCCATTCAATCCGTTGTACTGCCACAGGAATACCTACTGTACATCATCAAGTTGCAATACTCTCTTCTTCCAAGTAGCAAACGACATCTTCTTAACTTTCCCCTCCACCATTTCATAACATTCTGGTTCCTCAGTAAACACACCACCCAAACAAAGAGCGACATAGATCACGATCACAACGGTTGATGGGATTGGCTTGGAGTTTTTATCTACTACTGGCTCAAAGAATATTTCCCATTGTTCCCCTCGTTTTGGTTGACCAACCTGCTCAGGCCAGATCAACTTCTTGATGGCTTTCTCCACTTTCTTTGCTATTTCATCCCTGTCCTGCTTGTTTGGAATCAACTCTCCTTCAACAACTCCATCATCTCTGATGCCATAGTAGATGTGACCTCCGTTATGGTTGGCAAACGCTGAAACATAGCAAGTGAATTTATTACCTTTACCTGTCATACGATCTGCTAGTGTGGCACGTTTTGATGCAACTGCTTTTAGATGCTTTAACTGAACATTTTTGCTCTCCTGTAAATCACAGTTTGTATCTTTACAAAATATTTTCCTGTGTGAGCCAAGTTGATCTGCTTGCGAACCGACTTTTCTACATATAATATCGTCCTTGACTTTTGTTAGTTGTTCTAGAGGAGATACCAGTATAACTTGCGACTGACTCGGTAAATAAAGGTTATAATTAGCCGTTACTAAGGAGTCAGCCTTTTGGATTAAAATAACTATGCTTTGGCTTTGTTTATCTTCCTTGAAATCAATTTTTGACACGGTCTGATGTGTTCCAATGATAGATACCAAAGATTGTTCCAGTATTCGAATCAGCAAGGGTGAGAAACGTTTGACTTTCTCGCACTTGCACTCGTTATGCAAGATGACTTTTCCACCGTTGCTGTTAAGTATGGCGCAGATAGCAGCTATTATTTCGTTTAATTTTTGTTCCTTGTATTTTCTACCAGCCGAATTGCTTTCAAATTTACAGCAAGATACCGAATGACTCGTCTCATCAACGCAACGTTTCATTGTTGATCGAGGGTTCGTCTTGGTTGCCTAAAACTGTTTCTTGGCTAGTCAAACTTCGATATTTAGCGTTTGAATTGTATCGTCTTTTGATTTCGAATTTGAAATGTTTAACATAGTATTAACACGAAATTGGAAACCATTATGTTCTTGGTCACCAAGTTAAGGATATATGACATCAACAAAAAGTATTGAGGCTTTCAATCCGGCCCTACAGTATGGAACAGAAAGAATAAGTCTGTTTAATTAAATTTGCTTAGGTGGTTACTTATGAGCCATAGTTACTCGAGTCTAGGTTTCGTCGTGTTGAAAATTGTAGGTCGCGTTTTGGCCTTCGTTGACACAGTAATGCATTGCGCACTTGTGACCGTGATTTCGCAATATGGCCACTTCGAGGAGTGGCTAAATATAATTATCAATATTATAAATGTGGTCCGACAATACAAGCCGTCATTTTACAAACAATGGGCACGATGCAAAATACATATGCACAGAAGACATTATACCACAATGCAACATTGCTTGGTGCAGTGTAATATTAAATTAACAGAATTAACTTGAACGTACTGATGCTTGTGATGTTACTCTGAGTGTATATCCATGCCGGGCAAGCTTGAAAAATATGCCTGGCCACGGTGAGAATCGAACCTACGACCTTTGGAATACTAGCCCAATGCTCTGACAACTGAACTACGCGGCCAGGTCGGTTCGAGTATATGATATTTCGGAACTGAGTCTAGTTCCATCGATATCGACTACTATCGACTATTACTAGATTACATCTATATCGAAGGAACTAGACTCAGTTCCAAATAAATATCGTACACTCGAACCGACATGACCGCGTAGCTCAGTTGACAGAGCATTGGGCTAGTATTTGAAAGGTTGTAGGTTCGATTCCCACCGTGGCCAGGCATATTTTTCAAGCTTGCCCGCGGTGTGGCTATACACTCAGAGTAACATCACAAGCATCATATTCACCTGAGTACATTACACCGACACAGAAATAATTCTTGAACGTACTGATTAATAAGCTGGTCGACATGAGGCTTCGTAGATATTATTCCATCGTTATCAGCCTAGACCTAGGCTTTCTATTTTTATTTTTATTTCTATTTTCAGTTTTACTTTTATTTTTATTTTTATTTTTTTAATATTCAGCGCTTTTTCACACGAAAAGACTGGGACTAGGTGATTTGGGGGCGGGGCGGAGAAAGGACGCAGCCTGACGCAAGCGAAAAAATAGAAGGCCTAGTGGATTTCCCAAAAACAAGGCCAAAACAGCCCCGAAACTGCCCGGCTTGCGAAATGCCCAATTATTGCGTTCTCAAGCAGAATTATTTGCAACTTGACAGCGAATTTAAATTAAAACGATACAGGTAAAATAAACTAATTTATAGTATAAACTTACTATTTTTATTTGTATACACGTCTAGAAAATCGGGGTTTTTATCATAATGTTTGAAGCAACACTATTATTATGTTGACAAGGTGTAGCGAAAGCACAAAATAATAATTCTTTTATTCGCAACACAATCTACTGTTTTGCTTTGAATAACTATATTTGTGAATCGGGAATGAGGATTTTGAAATTATTGTTGAAGTATTACGGATATATCATTTGTAAACAATGTACGTTTTATACAGTACTGTACGGGCTAATAATATATCTATCCGTTTTATTTAATAAGTTATAATTGTATATGTGTTTGTATATTTTACAAACACAAGACTGCTTCTTGCCAAAATTGAGAAAATATATATTAATTATGTAGTTGTGTATAAGACAAAATTTCATGAAAGTATCGGTTTAAATTCGCTGTTAAGTTGCAAACAATTCTGTTTCAGAACGGAATAATTGGGCATTTCGCAACCAGGGCAGTTTCAGGGCAGTTTTAGCCTTGTTGTTGGGAAATCCACTAGGCCTTGAAGGCGTTCTATAGTTCTATTGCGTCCTTCCTCCGCTCCGCCCCCAAATCACCTAGTCCCAGTCTTTTCATGTGAAAAAGCGCTGAATATTAAAAAAATAAAAATAAAACTAGAGGGCCTAGGTCTAGGCTGCATGGTTATGTGACTTTTTGTCCGATCGCAGACAGAGAGTCAAACTTGGGGAATGAATCTCCAATTGGCCACAAGTAAATGCCGGTGTTCCCCAGGGAACAAAATTAGGTACAGATAAATAAATAAACCCCCTATCCCTATTAAGGCCTGCCTCTCAAATAATAAAACCAAAAGGTGACTAAAAAACAGCGAGGGCTTAATTATAGAAACATAGAAACATAGAATCATAGAAGCATAGAAGCATAGAAACATAGAAGCCTAGAAGCATAGAATGATAGAAACTTAGACACGTAGAAGCATAGAAACATAGAAACATAAAAGCATATAGAATCATAGAAGAATAGAGACATAGAAGCATAGAAGCATAGAAGCATAGAAACACAGAATCATAGAAGCATAGAATCATAGAATCATAGAAACATAGAATCATAGAAGCATAGAATCATAGAAACATAGAAGCATAGAAACATAGAATCATAGAAACAAAGAATCATAGAATCATAGAAACATAGAAGCATAGAATCATAGAAGCATAGAAACATAGAATCATAGAAGCATAGAAGCATAGAAACATAGAATCATAGAAGCATAGAAGCATAGAAACATAGAAGCATAGAAGCATTGAATCATAGAAGCATAGAATCATAGAATCATAGAAGCATAGAAGCATAGAAACATAGAATCATAGAAGCATTGAATCATAGAAGCATAGAAACATAGAATCATAGAATGAATAGAAGCATAGAAGCATAGAAACATAGAAGCATAGAAGCATTGAAGCATTGA